AGAGAAGGAGAGAGAGAGAGAGCATGAGAGGGGGGAGGAGGGTCAGAGGGAGAAGCAGGCTCCCCACCGAACAGGGAGCCCAATGTGGGACTCGATCCCAGGACTCCAGGATCATGACCTGAGCCGAAGGCCGTCACTTAACCAACTGAGCCACCCAGGTGCCCCTATAATGCTTTCCTTAATTATTTCTGTAGATTGATTCTTCCCAAGATCCACCCCCTCCCAGTTATTAATAAATCTACTTTAGAGTGTCAGGTAGTTACGGTTTTTTCTCAGCTAGTCAACGGTTACATTTTCATGATATTTCTTAAACTGCAACTGTGGGGCACTTCCTCAAAGCATTATTTTGTCTTCTGATACTCAGGCTGCATTTTCCTGATTAATCTGATAAATTGAGGCGTAGTCCTAATGTTCTTTAACAGAGCATTAGGTTCTTTGTAGTTGTTTCACTGACTTAACTCAGGTATTCTGCCCTGCCCCTCCCTGAACGTGCCCATTTCCTGTTGTTTTCCAGGCTTCTCTTTTCAAACTGTTAACAATCTTCTCTTAGTTGTTCACTTTAATTCTGATTCGTTAGGTGTTCAGTAAGCAGGATAGATTTTGCAGGCGCTAAAGTGAAACGCTACTTTTTTGCTACTGTTTTTCAGTAGAATATGGCTTCTTTTTCTGGGAGTTGCCATTTTGAGTATCCAAAGACTTCACTGATTTATTTAAATTTTTTTTTTTAATATTAGAAGGTGGCCAGTGATATTTAAAAATTCAGATTATGTAATTAGTACTTGTCACTCTAACAACTTTGAATAATTAAATAAAGTGATTAGCTCAGAACAGCCTATGGTGGGATGTGCTTTTTCCCTTTAACTTGGGTAATGAAATTTAGAGCTGTGGTCTACAAACATTTTCTGTGAAGGTCCAGATAGTAAGTATTTTAGGCTATGTGGTCCTGTGGTCTCTGTTGCAACTACTCAACTCTGCTGTTAGAATGCAGAAGCACCCATAGGCCCACAGGCAACGTAAACTGAACATGTAAATGAGTGTGGCTGTGTTCCCATACAGCTTTGTTTATGGACACTGAAATCTGAATTTCACATAATTACTTTATTTTATTTTGTTTTAAGATTTTTTAGTTATTTTTAAGTAATCTCTACACACACAACGTGGGGCTCGAACTCACAACCCTGAGATCCAAGAGTCGCATGCTGTACTGACTGAGCCAGCCAGGCGCCCCCTGGATTTCACATAATTATTTTTAATATTTAATAGGCTTTCTTTTTAGTAAAGCTTTAGATTTACAGAATAATTGAGCAGATAGTACATAGAATTCTATTTACACCCCCCCCCCCGTCACTTTCCATATTGGTAACATCTTGCATTAATGTAGTGAATTTGTTACAGTTGATGAGCCAGTATTGATCCAGTATGATTAACTAAAATCCATAGTTTAAGATTCCTTCTGTGTTGTACATTTTGTGGGTTTTGATGAATATCTAATATCATGTATGTACAGTATCCGACAGAATAGTTTCATGTATCTAAAAAATCCCCTGTGCTGCACCTAGTCATCTCTCCCTCTCTCCTCCTGGGCCCTAAGCAACCACTGATCTTTTCACTATCTATCTAGTTTTGCCTTTTTCAGAATGTCATGTAGTTGGAATTGTTCAGTAGGTAGCTTTTTCCACTTAACAACATGAATTTAAGATCTGTCTACGATTTTTCATGGCTTGATAGCTCTTTTTTTTTTTAAAGCACTAATATTCCATTGTATGGATGTACTACAGTGTATTGGTCTCTCAGTCTGCCATAACAAAATACCATAGACTGGGTGGTTTGAACAACAGAAATTTACTTTCTGACAGTTCTGAAGGCTGGAAGTCTGAGATCAGGTGCCAGCATGGTCAAGTTCTGGTGAAGGCTCTCTTCCTGACTTGTGGATGGCTGCCTTTTCATTGTGTCTTCACAAGGCAGAGGCAGGAGAGGAAAGAGAGAGGGAGAGGAGTGAAGGGAGAGAGAGGTGGAGAGGAGGAGGGGGTGGGGAAGGCTCTCTCTGTCCCTCTGCCTGTAAGGCCACGGTCCTATCAGATTAGGGCCCCGCTCTTAAATTGTCATTTAATCTTGATTACCTCCTAAAGACCACCCTGTCTCTGGCTACAGTCACACTGGGGGGTATGGCTTCAACATATAAATTTGGGCGGACACAATTCAGTCCATAGCACAGTTTGTTTATCCATTTACATATCAAAGGATATCTTGGTTGCCTTAAAATATTGGCAGTTATATATAAAGCTGCTATGTTCATTTGCAGCTTTTTGTGTGGACATGTTTTCAGATCATTTGGGTAAATAGCAAGAAGCATAATTGCTGCATCATATGGTAAGAGCATATTTAGTTTTGAAAGGAAGTTCCAAACTGTTTTCCAAAATGGCTGTACTGTTTTGCTTTCCCATTAGCAATGAATGAATGTTCTTTCTTGTTGCTCCATATCCTCACCAGCATTTGATGTTGCCAGTGTTTGGATTTTAGCCATTCTAATAAGTGTGTGTGGTAGCTTGTTGTTGATTTTTTTGTTTGTTTTTTAGATTTGTTTATTTGAGAGAGAGAGCGTGTGTGTACACGTGCGTGAGTGGGGGCGGGGGGAGAGAGAGAATCTTCAGCAGACTCCCCTCTGAGCCCAGAGTCATGGGACTCAATCTCATGACCCGGAGATTATGACCGAAATCAAGAGTCAGTCGCCCAACTGACTGAGCCACCCAGGCACCCCACCTTGTTGGGTTTTTTGTTTGTTTGTTTTAGGATTTTATTTATTTGACAGAAAGAGCGCACAAGTAGGCAGAGTGGCAGGCAGAGGGAGAGGGAGAAGCAGGCTCCCCAGTGAGCAGGGAGCCCAATGGGAGGCTTGGTCCCAGGACCTTGGGATCATGACCTGAGCTGAAGGCAGACACTTAACTGACTGAGCCACCCAGGTGCCCCCCTCATTGTCGTTTTAATTTGCTGTTCCCTGGTAACCTGTGATGTGGAGCATGTGTTCATATGCTTATTTGTCACCTGCATGTCTTTCCTCTCCTTGTCTTCTTTCCCTTCCTTCCTCCCTGTCTTGACTTTGTACAGAAACAATCTTTTACCACATGTAAGGTATATATACCAATATCAGAAGCTTCTATCTGCTTCTGTGGTTTCTTTTTTTGTTTGTTTGTTTAAACACATTTCTTTTTTTTCTTTTTTTTTTAAGATTTTATTTATTTATTTGACAGAGAGAGACACAGCTAGAGAGGGAACACAAGCAGGGGGAGTGGGAGAGGGAGAAGCAGG